TTAACCTCTTTGTTAAGAATAATAACACCTCGCGTTTGCTCAACAAAAATACGAAGAAAATCACTTGATCAATGCCGAGGTTAATAGAAAGTCGGTCGTGGCAGTTACTGCCGATTAAAGTTTTCGAAATTTTAGGTTGGTTGTTTGGTGAATGTAAAGTGGAATGACATTAGGTGTGGCCGTTGATGCTTGGTTACTTAGCGCTACACTCGACTTCGCAGAAGTTGATCCTATTTAAGCGCAGAGGGTGTTCGCGCTCTCTTAACTCCGTCAATTGCATGCATTCATAAGCTAATCCACGTTGTACTCCTCTACCAGTCTCTTCACCTAAACGACATTTACAATTGTAAATCGTAACAATTTTTGCTCAAATGAAGTGCCTCTCCGTAGCTTCCAATTATTATTGTGTTGTTACTTAAACTGTGAAGAAGTTCAGAATTTCTAAGAATTCAATCATAACTATAAGCAAAATATTTCCACAATTTTATGGCAGAAAAGACTGAGAAGATCAATACAAGCACTAGACTGGTGGTGTTTAGCTTTTGTAACTTTCAGAAACGTTTCAGCCAACCTCTTGCAGGACACGTTGTGCATGCTATTCTGCCATTCAGTAATCTGTAGAAGGCCATCAAATCGCATATTTTCGAGCAGAACCATGGCTTAAGAGTGTTAGTATAGCCAATCAGCTTTGTCGGTCTTTTCTCTCGGTTACTCATTGTACTACTCAAACAAGGAGTTCCTTTGCCAGAAGAAGAATCCTTGATAAGTTTAAATTTGCGTCCAAGAAAAAATCACAACATTCGGGTGGAGAATTTGCCGAGTTGGTCTTATTTCACTAGAGGTGTTTTCTGTGGAATAAAAAGAGTCGCTTAACTGAATTGGAAAGGACACCGTAGAAAATACTCAAACTATCACCCTTATCGGGCTTCGAAACAATGTTAGGAAACTAAGTGAGTGAAAAATGGATCCAATATCAAGAAGGGAATCACTATAACAGGAAGCACTGCTTGTGAAAAGGATTTAAGGTAAACATTTCTACAACCACGGTAGCTGCGTTATAGCTATATTTGGATGGTGCTGTGGAAATAGGGAGCGTCCTGAAACTCTGTTATACGATAGCTTTATATTTCACCTTTTGACTGCTTTAAAAATTTCTTTTTTTGGGGAGCTTAAGAGTAGATTTAACGAGGATGTTTCACATTTCTTCTTCCAACTACGGAGCGCCAGTTCACTGAATTCTAGAGATGGAGTGGTTCGAGTAGTATCAATCCGGGTCCTACAGCTCCAGTCTGCAGTGAATGTTTCATACTCTTGATTCAACGAGGTATTTTACAAGTAACTAGAGCAAACTGATTAACAGTGGGCTTTGCTACAGCTAAAAGGAGATCTAAGAAAAGAACTGGATGCTGGGTTGAAATAAACCACTTAGCAATTTCCCCGTTGTTTATGGGAAGCTATGCAATTACTAGTAAGTGCGATTATGCTATCCAAGTAGGATAACTGAGTTTACAAGAACTATGCGTTGTGTTTTATCGCTCATAGGTTATCGTAAGTGCCAAATGCTTCCTCCTCCGCAATAGTTCCTTCTATTCTTACTGTTCTTGCTGAAACGCTGATAGCTTTCTTGTTTTGTTTCGCCATGGTTTTACATTTTTATGTCAATTGAAAACAAGTGAAAAGCAACGAATAAAGGGCAAGCAGGAAACGAGAATGAGAGACTGGATGATGGAAAGCTCACAGAGGTTCTGGGCGGAATGACGTTTTGCGCACGTGTGCCACCTCATTTCCTTCATCGAAAATTCAGCGCGCTCGGTTTGATGATGATGAGAACGGCAAAGCAGCCACTTCAGCCCTCGGTGTCGTTCGGTCGCGAAATTCAAATCAATCCTCCATTTTTCGAAGTCTTTCCGGAGAACTTGTAGAACTGCTACTGGTGAATCGTATAGGAAAAGTTATTCTCGCGATTGAATAAGTCTGTACTGTCAGGTTTCGATTAGACTTCTATTTCTCATTGCTGTCCTCAGAATTCGAGCAGTCGCTCATCTGACATCGTGACTGACGGTGGGTGAGAGGCTTCCCTCTAACTTATGGCGCTCTCTAGTACTTTGGGATTTGAGATTCTAAGGATTCTTAGCTGAAAGCATCGTCATTTTCAGTGATTTCCCAGCGCTCTTTTAGAAAACTTTCTAAAAAAGACTTAAAATATTCCTTTGTTTAACGAATTATAAATGTACATCTTTGGCTTTCCTTCCTTCCATCAGTTTCGAAGTCAAGTATGTCTGTAACCGGCCAACACATCAATTTTTACTCGCCAAGAACTAACGGGCCGAGTGTATTTTCTATCCTTTCAAGCCTTCGAATCATTCGATTATCTAAGTCTGAACATTCGGTATATGCTTGCATCTATCAGCGTTTTACAGTTCTTTCGTTCATAACGGTTCATCTTATAGCTCCTTACAGTAGTTCTGTTTCAGCTTTCATGTCGATTCAGTTTTCGTCATAACTGTTTAGTCTCCGATGTACATGTCCCTGGTGTCGTCCAATTAGCAACCCATCAAATAATCCTTCTATGCAGTTGACGGAATGCGCTTCCAACTGATGCTGATGCTCACCTGCTTCTCCACTGCTTCTCGTTACCACCACGCCAACGACGATGAGCTACACTTCTCCAACGACGGAAACGTCTGCACGCACTTTCTCGTTTTCTTTTTGTCTTCTTAATTTTTTTCAGAACGCCCTCTTCAATATATTGGCTTTTCTCCCTTTTTTTCTACTCTGCGTCTTTTAATAATCTCTAAACCACTTAGATATGAAAACTGAAATGAGGTAATGAAAAAAAAAGAAAAATCGTACGTTGAAGATGAATTAGCGTCCATCTTACTTTCCACTTAATAATCGCACTTGTTTCGTTTTCCATCCACCAAAATTTTTCTTTTTCAAATCTTACTCTGAATATCGAAATATAGTGAAAGTTTATAGTTATCGTAAATGGTGAAGCTGAAGCTTGAAGCTCTCGGCGTTGATCAATCCCTGAGGAATGCGCTATGCATTCGACTTCATTAAGTATCGTTGGAGGTGAATGAATGAATCTGATCTTTAAAATGACTCGCGGTGGCCTACCGATCTATCGACCCGGTGCTGCTATCCTCCCAGACTAGTCTGGTACCAATTTGCCGACTCCGGAGGGATGGAAAGCTTGGTGGGCCATGGGTCCAAGGATCGATTCCACGTGTGTGTTGCATTGCAGTGGCGCATCCAACCACTGCGCTACACGCGCCATAAAATGGTAGGAAAATTTAATCTATAATTTCAAATGCATACTGTCCAGTTCACAGAGCTTTTTTGATTAGGATGAAGGTCATTTAGAATCTACATGGGGACTTCCTCAGCCAGTTATGGAGCTACTTAAGAAAGCAGGTGACGAGTTTCCTAATGAGTATGTGAGGCAGAGGGTGGACTGCGTATCCCAATTCTTTCAATCCTTATCGCATATGATTTTCTGGAATTGCAGTGAAGCGATTTTTCCTAATGAGCTTCCATGCTGTTAGGATTTTGCCACGNAGTCTGGTACCAATTTGCCGACTCCGGAGGGATGGAAAGCTTGGTGGGCCATGGGTCCAAGGATCGATTCCATGTGTGTGTTGCATTGCAGTGGCGCATCCAACCACTGCGCTACACGCGCCATAAAATGGTAGGAAAATTTAATCTATAACTTCATATGCATACTGTCCAGTTCACAGAGCTTTTTTGATTAGGATGAAGGTCATTTAGAATCTACATGGGGACTTCCTCAGCCAGTTATGGAGCTACTTAAGAAAGCAGGTGACGAGTTTCCTAATGAGTATGTGAGGCAGAGGGTAGACTGCGTATCCCAATTCTTTCAGTCCTTATCGTATATGATTTTCTGGAATTGCAGTGAAGCGATTTTTCCTAATGAGCTTCCATGCTGTTAGGATTTTGCCACGTTTGGAAAAGAAGTGATTGATCATTCTTTGCCAAAAATGAATGAGGTGATCATAGCTTTCTTCTGATGAGAATTTCCTTCCTGACGTCTTTCAGCGCAACACCTTTGTCCAAGCTAGCACAGAACTTCGCCAGTTGTCGTACAAAATCCCTTTTTGTGGTTTATTAAAGCGCAACCAAGGAATCAGTGACTATTGTTTTACTATAAGAAGGGCACATTGCTTCTAGAGTTCTTCCTCCACGTTTCAATTCGTTGAGATGTTTTGAAATTAGTGTCTTACTTGTGTATAGTTCTTCGAAAGCTATGGAATTTCGTTGTCTCTGGATATACTTATACTTCAGTTAGCGTCTTCAAGTGGCCATCATTACTGCAGGCGGATCGTCAACAGTTCTCTCCATCTTCATCGTATTACCCTGATGTCTTCAAAAGCAACGAATGATGTATTATCTGCTAGTAAAGTGGTGACCGTATTTGGTTTTCTAAGTTCTGAATTCGTATGCAAAAAACCACATTGAAAATGAACAGCGAATTTAGAGGAATTAAAAACTTGGGCTGAGTTTCTACTGTTTCGTCGATTTGCCATCGACCTACTGCTTCAGCGAGGACAACCTTTTTTACATGCAAAATGCTCGAAAGGGTAGTAGTTTCAGATTCAACTCAAAAAGTTGGCCGTCACACAAAATATTATGCTATGATTACCTGAAAATGTTACGGGATAAAGCGATCGTCGTTGATCAATCCTTGAGGAATGCACCGTACATTCAGCATCATCGAGTATTGTAAAGGTTGAATGAATAGCTGGCTTACAAAATCACTTGCGGTGGTCTACTGATGCATTAAATCAGTCCTTCCAGACACGTTCGGTACCAATTCACGGAGCCCATATGGTTGGAAGCCTTCGTGAGTCCGAGTCGTGGAATCGAACCACCGATCGATCGATCCAGTGTGTATTGCAAGGCACCGCCCCACACACTCCCCGTACTTACATTGTTTGAAAAGAGAACAATATTGTCGAGAAAATTTTGAACTATTTCCGATGGTCGATAAGCTTTATGAGAAGAATCGGCATGTAATTCGTCGTTTTCAGGGCCCTCGGATTGTTCGCCACAGCTTCTTCAAGCAGCATTTTCGTCTTGGGTACAAACTAAAGTTGTTCTGTGAAGCCCACGGAACTCCTTTACCTGATATGCGATGGTATAAGGATGGTGTCGAAATACGGCTTCGACCAGGCATACGAGTACATTTACATGTGTTTAAATAATTCACTCTTTGCTTTGATTTCTTTCCTTAGGTATCCTGAAATCCTGATATAAAATGAAAAACTGCAATTGTCGTTTTTTTGCTGGGACTTTCCCGTTCGTCGTCACCTGATTCCCTTCAGTTGATCGTCATATGATAGAAATTTAAACTCTGAAGACCCCGAATGGCTGCATAGTTGTTCACGGAGGTGAAGAGTAGAAATGATGAGCTGAGTTGCATGTCGGCTTATGCTGCGCTACTCATGATCTTCAGCATTGGTCGAGCATTTCGAAATTTTCATCCGTTAGTATTTGCTGCAGCATCGTAGTCAGTTGACAAGGAAGCGGTTAGGGGATCTCGGACTACTCAGGTCCTTCGTGGGCTATAACGAGCTATAAAACAATTTCTTTACCAGAATACCATCATTCTACAACGATATTAATATCGTCGTGAAGAGAATGCTTTGACGAAGCGATACGATCTTAGGGAATTTATTTACAACTACCTCTGAGAACGTTATGCGAAGACTGGAATGGGGCAGCATGGAATTCACTGCTTTGCTGGTGTTCTGATAATATCAAACAAAGCGGTAAGAATGATGTGAGACCTCGATAACGCTTAGGGAAGAGCTGGTAAAATTTCAAAAAAAAGATATCTGTTCATGAAGAACGGATTGGCTTCATATGTCCCATGCACGGTCAACAGAACGAATATCTCCTAATGCTCCAGCTATATTTATAGGTCGGTCAATCAGCATAATAAACGACTTAGGTCCTTTTTTCCCTGAATTGACCAGAAGTAAGCGAGCGGTTTGTGGAGTTTTCATGAAAATCAACAATGAAGGGAAGAAAACAAAGAACACCCGACTCCGGGCCAACTTTTCCCACTCCACGGTTCTCTCTGCGTTCACGAGAGGACTATGGTGGAAGTATTTCTCATCACGAAAATTGGACATGAAATCCGATTTTCCTAATGTGTCAAGAATCGAGATTCAAAAACGGTAATAGTCAAGCCAAAATGCCAAAAATTGGTTGAGACGGACACATGATGTATCTGACCGAGAACTGATAGACAGGACCCGTCAGAGTCTGGGTCCCCGGGTTGCCAAGCTCACAATAGAAAGGTCACCGACTTGGTGGTCAGAGCTCTCGACAATGCTAGAAAACAGATAAGATCCTCAGAGAGTTCCAAAAACGAGTAAGCCCATCGGCTGCGACAGAAACAAATGTAGATGTTAGTGGCGCCCCTACAGTCAGTTGATGATGAACGGGACAACAGAGGACATAGATGACTTGACAACGGAATCTTTTGCTTCTTCCCACAGGTGGAAAACATTCTTAACGATCCTACAAATATAAACGAAACTATTACTGCTTGGAAAAACATTTTCCTGAGGCAATCCTACGAGAGCATTTCGTACTCGTAGTATGTTTTTCAACAATGATGAATGACGGAAATATACAACATATTTCTCCAATAAGAACATGTGGACAAGGACGATGAAGCTATGTGTTGATCAATCCATGAGGGATGCGCCATGCATTCGACTTCATTAAGCATAGTTAGAGGCCTACACAATGATTTTCTGCGCGCAACCGATGGATTGAGTCAGTGCTGTTATCTTCCCAGACAGGTCTGACACCAGTTTCCGACCTGAGAGACTGAGACACGGGATCGAATGTCTGTATTGCAGAGGACCTCTGACCGCCGCGGAAAATGCGCACCCTGACGCATTCAGAGACTTCATTAATATGAAATAAAAGATAATGCAATTAACTGATCTTTTAAAATACATATTCTAGGGCCCTACAACTGAAGTTCGATGATTTTGTCGTTGTTTAGTCATTTGATTGCTTGCTTTCTACTAGTAATCATTCTAGTACTTGTGAGATTTATATACTTCAGATTCGTGCCGAAGTCACTGTTAATTCCGTGGCCTCTCATATGGAGATCGATCCGGCCGGTGTGCTGGACGCTGGTGAGTACGAGTGCGTTGCCAACAATGCACACGGCTACCATCTACAGCACATCCGTGCTGAAGCTCGTCTGTGAGCCCGAGTCCGACTAGTCATTTCGCCTATTTCAAACAGCCATATCGCACAGCGTTTACAAATCTGGTCGTCATTCTCGTTTGGACCTGCTGTTAAAACTAGTGCCAATTCTGCTAATTCGCATTTGTGAACGCCAAGGAGAACAACGTTACTTTTTTTTTGAACGTATTTGAAAGCCTTTGTTGTAAAATGACGACAGAATTTATAGTATTACTGGCTTTCTTGTGCATAAAAATAGCAATTCTGTGGAACAGAAATCCTGAGTAGGCGACACCCTGAAAATGACTGCTTGTACCTATTTTTTTTCAGCTTGGCCAAGCAACATTGTAAGATCTCTGTGAGATTTTGTTTTAACGTGATAGACGATTTTCGTTCTTCTTAAGGTTACATGACGTTCTTAGTATGTTTTAGTATCATACGACTGAGGAACTTTTGTGAGATTTTACTCTATCAGTCGAGATGAAGATTTGTTCTTATTACTATTTGTGCTACATACACTTAACAAGAAAAAAGGAAGGAAACTTATGATGACGAAAGTTTGTAATCCTCGTCATAGCACTGTTATGTAGAGATTTTCAGATAAAAAGCACTGGAAGGGAGCTTTATGCGTAACGACGGCGTGTACTATCGGTATAGAAAAAGCATCTCATGGTGGGAAACAAATTTTCTGGAGTCGACGTACTCATAGATGACTCATAGATAAACAGTTGTTGTCGCTTATATTCGGTGATATCTTTGTCCAGCTTCATTAATGTCTCCATTGTGACGCCGCTGATGATTCAGCAGTACCACCTGTATCATCAGTCGTCCCGTTGATCGTCGAGTGACTAGAACGTAGGCGCCAATAAATCTTCAATTTTTCTCTGTCGAGTGGCAGGGGCTCGTTGAGCATCATATTTTTGTGAAGAACTCTGACCATCGGATCGGTGATCTGGCTGTAGCACATTTAATATCTTGAGGAATATATTCATTAACAGCTGTTCTCCACTTGTTATCGTTCATATGCATTACGTGTCCGGCCCACGTTACCTTCGACTGTTGGGTGCACAGAATGGCAGCTTTGATTTTTGATCGTTAACGCAGGTCGCAGCTTCGGATGCCTTTCTTTACTTGTGTGAAACGGGATACTCCTAGCATCGTTCTTTCGACTGCGCCTTCGATAACGCTGAGTGATCTTTCATCCTGATTACGCAGCCACGATGTTTCTGACGCATACGTTAGGGCAGGAAGTACCGTTGAGTCGAAAAGGTGGGCACGGAGTCGGGTGTTTTTTGTCCTCTTCACTACATCTTCGACGCTCTTGAAAGCTCCGAAGCCGCTCGTTTCCTTCTGCTCAACTCTGGAGCCAAGTCGTTCAACATGTTGGTTTCCCGACCTAGATAGACATAACTGGAGCATCCGGAGATATTCGTCCCGCTGAGCGTGAACGGGGCATGCGAAACCAATCCGTTCTTCATGAACATCGTTTTTGTGAGATTTAGTCGAAGATCAATCTTTCCACAGGCTTCATCAATGTCGGCAAGCATACATTCCGCTTGGCTAATGGTTGGTATTATAAGGACGATGTCATCAGCAAAGCGAAGATGGTCTAACTGCCGACCATCGATTTTCACTCTCATATTATTCCATTCCAATGTTCGCATTAAGTCCTGGAGAGTGGTGGTAAATAATTTTGGCGAGATGGTATCGTCTTGCCAAACCCTTCTTTTGACGTCAATGTTAATATCGCTGTGGAATGGTGATATCTTGGTTGTTAAATTTTTGTACAGCTCACGAAGAATCTTTATACAATGAATAGCAACTCCCTGATTGTCCAAGGCTTCATTGACTGCTTCCATCTCAACTGAGTCAAAAGCCTTTAGATCGATGAAACTGAGACAGAGTGGTCTTTTGTACTCTCGCGATACTTCTATGAGTCTTGCTACCGTGTGGTTGTGGTCTATCGTACTGATCTGTGTAGTAATCGTGAATGATTTTTCATATTCCTCTCAGACATTTCAATGTTAGGAAGTAAATTTGCTAAAGCCGCCTGGCTTTTGCAGACTTTTAGCCTGGTTCTATCATGACATTTGATGTAAGAAATTAGAAAAACGGTGAAACTTTACACCAAAAATTATCACAATCTACTGCCGCTGTAATGATTAGATATGTATAGAACTCGGAACCTAAGTTGGGCTTCGAACCAGTGATTACCACTGTCGACGTATTCCTTGCTATCCACCATACCAACCGGGAGCCTTGCTTTGCCTACCTTAGCCATTTTTCTCCTTATTGGTGCTACCAGCAATCCTCTGTGAACGGGAATGATCTGGATCGCACAAATCGCCACTTAATAAAGATCATCTGAATCAGCAGTTAAAATCCTAATATTCCACCTTTAATTTATTGCCTATTCATTTTTCACGGCAGGGTGCTATCGAAAGTACCAAAATCCGCTTTTTTCCCCCACTCTAAATATTAAGGAAGAGTAGTGGAAACTCATTAAAAACTTTTGCACCAATGGTTCTACATGATCAATAAATTTTTTGTGCATCCAGCGAATATCTATTGGAAAACAAGACCTGGATTTTTTTTTAGGAAAACGGCTGGAAATGATCTAATCTTTACGGAATCTGATACGGAATTCACTTGAGATTACCATAAATCATTTCCTCTAAAGAAGTGAAACCTATTGCTAGAATCACTCCCTTAGACGACTACCGGAGGTACTGAGTTGTTGTCTATCACAATGGATCAAGGAGGCCTTTCGTTTCGAATGAATCGCGTCCATTACGCCACCAACATCTCTAGTGCTCTCCCGCTCTTCACGGTCGCGTTGTCAATAATCTACTTCTGCCTTGAAATAGTATTACACCTAACTCCACTTGTGGAAGGAAACCTTGAATCAGCTCTCAGCTAACTTTCACCGCTGATAAATGTCTTACTGCAAAAACACTCCTTTTGTGAGAGGAAAAAATTTGAAAAATGTCAGAAGCATTTCGTGCCACTTGCCACGACGAGACAACGAAATATTAAATGGAACATGTGGTTGTAAACTTAACGGACACCGCTGTGGAAGGATGGTTTAGTCATAAAAACTTTCAGGAACACCTTTAGTGTAAACTAGGAATCCCGAACCACTCAGCAGGTGGTTCACTTTCTGCAGCGTTCATCACGTCACGCTAAAATCCGATGTTTTCGAAGTCCAAGTGAATGCTTTGCATTTTCTCAGCCCTAACAGAACTCTCATCTTTATCAGTTGAGCAGCTAAAGCAGCCAGCTGCTGACGACGCTAACGTTTTTTAGCTCGTAGGAAATAACACCTTGGTATTTTTCTTTTTTCTTAAAGACATTTGAAAAACGTTTGAACCAACTGTCAAGTATCTGCTCTTGAGACCATGGAGCAGGATCGTCCATTATAAGTTGATTAAGTCTGGTTGATCGGGCTGTTTTTGCTAGAAGCGCACTTTTTAATAGTTCATTTCAAAAACTTCTATTCAGTCACATTTTTTTAAAAGAAGAAGTTTAGAAATGACGAAAAATTGAATGTGTGGTGTTTTGTGTGATTGGTGTGATTAGTCATGAAAATAATTGTTTGAGGAAGAAGAACCACTAGCGAATTTCTCCTCAATACAAATATTGGTAATAAAAAGAATTACAGGCCTATTGATTAGTGTTTGATTTATCGTTAAGTGGTTTACATTATTCGTCATTATTTACTGGCAAACTGACATTTCGACGGATTTCGCCAGCCTCAGAGCCTGGAAAGGTCAAGTTGACCGCAATCTACCCAGCCAAACACCTCCATAACCAGTTTTCCTTTCCAGACTCTGAAGAAGGCAAACGTCGTCTTGCTCGTAGACGACGAAATGCGTCGCTCGTAAACGAAAAATTAAAATAACACTTCGTGTTTGCTGAATTCGTCATATCACTAAAATCATTTACCAGCTGATAGCAAACGTTCTCGTCAAAAAACGGTTAAATTGCTCACGTCGAGGTTGACTATTGAGGGTTGCTTGAAATACTGCTTGTGTCGTGAATGATTAAATGGATGGCTTGATAAAATGAATAAATTCTAATAAGATGCCTTTCTGGAACGATAAGCTAACATGAGGCTGATAAAGATGCTTTTCGGCCAACGCTTCCACGTCTTCGTCTTCCTCAGAGCCGATGATCCGAGTCGATGGTCCACAGGCGTTAGGCTTTTCTATGTGATGTGGAATGAGGCAGCCTCACCGGAGAGGGTTCTTTAATACGGGACAGTTATTATTGATAATGACTACCTGTTGATAATAATTATTAGGCATCTTGATCATAATTATAATCCTGTAGTATGTCATATCATCTTCAAAAAACACAAAGCGTTTCGAGAACCTGATTCTATTCAGAGAATTCAAATCTCAATGCAATGTACCTCCTGCAGTCCACAAAGGACATTTGCTAATGGTTGAAGGCAGTAACCGTCCTAGCGCTGCTATTTTGGAATTCCAAGAAAGTTCATGTGAGGACTGGTCAATTAGCCATCACTTAGTTTGATTAGTTGTTCTATGTTTGTTTCGGGCATTAGTAGTGAAGCGTCACGTCTTTTCAGCTACCTTGACGCACTAAGTGATCTACAAAGCTGTAATTGGTAGATATATTCTTGGATGTTATGAGCCATGGCATTCATTTTTTTAGCTTTCGAGTGAGAATTTGCCTGGTAACAGGAAGCAATCGACCTTTTAATTGATCGATGTTGATGTTATCCTCGTCAAATTCCATACTCAGGATAAACTTTACCCTTTTATTTACTGCCCTTTTTTTAATGGCAGGGTATATTGCGAAATATAACTCGTATATAATGCTGAGATATTTGCAAAACCCCGGACCGCAAATGTATGCGGTTGGGAACAAACGCACGCTATTGTCTTTACCGGGGCGTAGCGCACTTCACCACCCCACCATCCGGGTCCTTCGTTTTGCATGTCTCTCAGCTAGTTCTATTGATCTTTTTGCCATCAGCAATCACCCGTCAACGGGATG